TGGAAAGGTTGGCACAGCCCTGAGGGCTGTGTAGGCCAGAATGTCCCCATTTGTCTGGGCGCCACCTCTGCCATCCTGTCCCATCTTTCTGGGTTTGTATTCTCCTCTCTCTTTCTCTGACCACAGTCTTCGCCCTCCCCACCCCCACCCTGTTCTCTTCCTGACTTCCCCACTGCTCCATCTCTCCGACATTCAGTTTCTCTCTTTTCCCTGATCCTTGCTCTCCCCCTCATTTCACTTTCTCTGGGTTTGAGGTCCAGGGGGTGCTGGGTATGGCTGTGTAGGTTGTTCACTGCACAAAAGCGTCCTGCTGGCTCCACCTGCCAGGATCCATCTGGATGGATACCTGTTTCCACTGTGTGCAGAGGGGACTAGAGAGGCCTTTGCAGCAGCCAAGCCTGCACTTTGCATAGATTCTTTTCTACCTCTCCTGAACCAGAGGGACCCCCTCTCTTGGCACTCCCAAAGTTAGAGCAGCAGGGAGCTTCAAATGTCCTTAAAATGCCACTATGAAGCCAAAATAGAAACTAGTCTACCAAAAGCATCCAAATCATTTAATATGATTTGCTATGAACTCCAGAAAGAGTTAAAAAAAAAAAAAAAAAGAACACTGGTAAATTTGATAAATTTAGCAGCCTGACTTGGCTTTCACCAAATTGGCCTGGCATCCAGGTCTGCTATCCTTTTGGGACACTTCTTCCCCACCAAGAGGACTGTTGGGAATACACGGCTCACCGTGGTCAGTGGTTTCTAACTGACCTCTAAATCTAGAGGCTGGGAGGGAACCACGAGAAGCGGGTCTCTGAAGTTTAGTGTTGCCAGTTGCCTCCTCCAAGCCAGAGGAAGGACCATGGCACCTGCTCTGCTCGTGTGAGCTCTCTGCCTCCTCAGCCTGTGGTCCCTGCACCGTCCACTGAGAGAAACGCAGCCTCTCAGGGTCCCCCACCCCAGTCAGACACATGACTGATGGAGACCATAGCTCTTGAGGAAGGTTCAGGGCACGTGGCCCCTGGCTCTGACTCCAATGCTAGTGGCCACCTGTTCACACCTCGCATCGCTACTCTGCGACGTGGTCTCCTCTGCACGGCCCCTACCCTGTATATCTGCTTGTTGCAGCAGGCCCTTAAGTCACACCCTTTTTACTTCCAAACTCCGATTCCCTCACCCCACACTGAGGCTCGTCAGTCTACAGTCGCCTCGCTAACCTGGGTTTGCTCTGCGTCTACCCGCCTGCAGCTGAGGGCTGCGTCTAATCTTTTGGATCAACTCAAGACACCCCTCTCCTCATCCCCACTGCCATTACTGTCTCAGAGATCAGTCGGCCCTCCTGCTGGGCACTGACAGCCAGATGCTGACGGGAATAGCAAATACACGCCTCTGAATTCACCTCCTCTGCCCAACTGGGCAGAAGACATTTGCTGCTTTTCCTGAAACTGAATGATTAAAAAAAAAAAAAAATCTCTGGGTAAGAGAATGAGGACAGACCAGCTTTTGGAGTAAGACAGATGCTCTAAATTCAAACTGCAAACCCACAACAGGGAATACATAACCACACGCCACTGCAGCGTGCTGAAACAGTCTCTGACTGGCGCCGCTGTAGTCTTCATATACAAAGGCAGACACTGAACCCAAATGTCAGGGCCTGAAGAGTGAGCCCACCCTGATGGGAAACACAAAGTTTTGTTCCAGACAGTGTAAGTTTTCCCTTGAAAGCAGTTAGTATCATTGAGTCATTGAGTGTCTGTAGGCTCCACGGGATCAGCCCTTCTCAGACACTCGGGGACCAGCGTGAGCCGCCCCACCAAAGAGCCGAGTACAAGAAAGCACAGCAGTGACACAACGTGCAGAAAGCCGTGGGGCATCAGGAAGCCCGGGCTCCGTGCCTGCATCATCCACAGCAGACACACAGTGAGGCACTCTGGAGCGCACCAATGGTCTCTGCTACGGTAACTTCTAGACACTAAGCAGTTTCAAAATTCATAAAACGAAAATACACTTGAAAAGAAAGGGCCTCTTAAAAGCTTTGAAAATAGGATAAACTGACCATGAATGAAGGAACCGTTGCTTACCAAGGATAAATGCTGGTGGTACCCTCCCGACCCTGCCTCCTAGTGAAGCATTATTTGATTTACACGTTTATTATTTTTATTAACGTGTTATCGTGTCCCTTCTCAGTGTCAGGCAGGACTCTAGGCCCGGGGATCAGAGGTGAGGACATCACAGACCCTTCCTTGTGAAGTTCAGAGCCTAAAAGCAGCCACAGCTATACAAGAATGAACACGAGTGATACAAACAAAAAGGCCTGTCCAGGCTGTAGGGACAGTTCACTGTTCAATGTAGAAAATCTCCTTTTACATTTTGTCCATGTGTCTTTATTTTGCCTCGCCTGGTCCCAGACTCATTGCCTCAAGCGATTCTCCTGCCTCAGCCTCCCAAAGTTCTGGGATCACAGGCGTAAGCCACCTCGCCTGGCATCTACATGTTTTTTGGAGACAGAGCCTCAAGCTGTCGCCCTGGGTAGAGTGCTGTGGCATCACAGCTCACAGCAACCCCCAATTCCTGGGCTCAAGTTATTCTCCTGCCTCCGCCTCACAAGTAGCTGGGACCACAGACGCCCAGCTATTTTGGGGTTGCAGCCATCATTGTTGTTTGGCGGGCCTGGGCTGGATTTGAACCCGCCTGCTCAGGTGTATGTGGCTGGTGCCTTAGCTGCTTGAGCCACAGGCGCTGAGCCCATCTACATGTTTTTTAATGACAATTTCTCTAGTCAAGACGCTGAATCAGTTGATTGAATTATTGTAAAGATAACGTATGTAAGATACTTCCTAGGCTACAAACTCGAATACTATGGCTTTTAAGGTTGAAGAAACCACCATTTCAGGCACAGCAGTAAAGTGACCAACTCTGGAGGCCTAAGCACCCACGTTTGTTCCCACTCTCTGGAACAGCACAGTTCAGAGGATGCGGCCCTGGACAATGCGCCCACAAGCCTTGGCTCTAGCTGGTTCTATTACTAGGTATTTGGACAAGTCACTTGTCCTCCTGTTTGAGTCATTTCCTTTTCTGAAAAATTATGGGTTTTGACTGCTTCTTTTCCAAGTTCCTTTCCAACAAAGGATTCGATTTCTAAGGTGAAAATTTACCCTGAGATTAAATTCAGGCTACAGATGGTATTTAGACCAAGGACTAGAATAATTAATAAATGTCTACCTGGGAAAACGTAAGCATAAGTTATAAGTAATTATCAAAATAAAACTTGTTGCAGAATCACATTTTTTAAAGGGTTCAAAGTATTGTCTGTGAATTGAAAGACAGGAGAGTCCCTCCAACCCATCCTGATAAAGTTCTCCATCAGATATTGAACTCTTATTATGGGAAGAAGAGCAAGGGGGTGAGGCTGGGCCTCAGAGCCAAAGCCACCCGACTCCCAGCTTCAGATGCAGCTGAGATCCAAGTCACGGAACCAGGCAGCAGGGTCCACTCACCTTTGGAATTGCCAGTCATTTAACAGTCTCTAAACACTGAGGTTTTTTCCTGGAATAGAAACCTCTCTGTTCTGCCTAAAATATTCTTTTAAAGAGTTTCAAAGTTTTTCAATGTTTTGCTAATATTTTAGGGAACTATGGAAAAACTTACACACCCTAGAGAGAAATAGTGCTGACAGGGGAGCAGGGCTGCCCGCACAACTGGCTGACACAGACAGGCTTTGCTATCAGAAATTCATCCGTAGTGGGGCAGTGTGGGAATAGGTCTCTGATGCACCCCAGGGGACAGGCTGGAGGGAGGGGCTGTGTTGGTGGTGATGGGGCAGCTGAGAGCACAAGGTCACAACTCAGTGACATCAGAGGTATTCTGTGATGGGCTATTTGCCTTGTGTTGCCCTTATGACAATCTAATTAGGTACTGGATGAGTAGATCAAATATTAAACTACAGGCTCTCACAAATATAAAGCTACAGGCTCACAAACATGTGCAGGGCTTGATCTAAAAGGACCACTGATGGGCATCCAGCTCCGCGGTCCTTGCACGATGGTGAGAAGGACCAGTGTTCCTGGGACCACCCCCATGGCCCCAGGTCCTCCTTGTTAGTTATTCATGATGACAAGTGCACATCCCCAGACATTTCTGCAGCATGCTGCCATCAGGTATGTCAACGTAGTAGTCTATAGAACTTAAGGGAAATGTGTTGCCACCACGACAAGCAGGGACAACAGAACTGACTTTAAGAGACCCTTATTTCTTTCTATCTTCTCCTTGTCTCCATCTTTGCAACCCAAAGGGCACAGTCTACGATGAATGATTGTTTATAAATATTAAGGTTTCGCCACTGTTGGATAAGGTTCTAAACAATGTTTTGTTTTTTTTGTTTTTTTTGAGACAGAGTCTCAACCTGGGTAGAGTGCCATGGCGTCACAGCTCATAGCAGTGTTCCCAACGGGGCCTCACCTGTGATTTTTGTTTATTTAAGGTTGTGCACAGAGACGTCAACAGACCCTGCTGATGGTGTGGTATCTCGCACGTTTGTTCACAGAGGTGTCCAGATAGATGGGCCCTGGGGTCTTAATAAGTAAGTGCTGAATGATAGACAAGTCGGCTAGTCCCCAGAAATGTAGCTAGAAGGGAGTTTTTACCAGGAGGAAAATAATGCTGACTACATGTGGAAAAGGGAGGAGGATGGTTCTAACGCTGGCTCTGGAAATTATTTAGCAAGACCAGAGTATTATTCAAATTAAAGGCAAAGCCTGCCTTTCTTCTGTGTATAAGGAGCCCTGACAAATGCCCGAAGTAGACCCTTTCCTCCCAGATTCAATGGCCCCTTCAGTAATTGGTCACTTCGGGAGAAGAACGTGTATTAAAGAGGTCACAATCAATCTAGCACATAGAATGCTATGGAATGTATGATATCTTCCTTTAAAATGGCAATAATACCCTGTACAAAAACCAAAACAGAAAGAGAAAAGAGAGAAGGAGAGAGACAGACCGAGGCCGACTCTTCTTACCGTCAGGGACAAGGCCATGCAGACGAAGGTGAACTTCTTGATGTGGGCTGCTGTGACTGTGTTGCTCGTGCTCACCAGTTTATTGCTGGGGTTATTCTGGGGAAAGAAAATGACAGTTGTGGCTGGGCTTGGTTTATCCTTGGGTTAACCCCCCACCCCCTGTGAACCTTAAAAGGCATCCCCTTTTGGTTTTATTTGATGGGTCTGCAGTGTAAGTTTCAAGTGACAGTTTGCAAGGCAGATGCCATGTTGATTCTCTGACAGTTGCCAGGTTCCTGGACATGACCATGGACCAGAGTGAAGCCTGGACTCAATGCCCTGCTGCATCATCTGACTCAGTCCCTGCTCACTAGTCCAGGGCTCTGAAGCCTGCTGTTTGCCCCAGCAGAGCCTGTGCCACGCTGCCCACGGGCATCTTCCTAAATGCTACACCCTGCACGGTGACCTCCTGGCCCCTCTCCTCGCCACCAAATGGACTGTAAATTCCACTAGGCATTCAAGGTCCTGCCCATCTGACCCGGTAGGTACTTCTCCACTATGGCCTCCTGCCCCTCCCTGGCAAGGCTCTGTTCTTCCTTCGCCCCCTGGATCTTCTGACTTCTAAGAACACCCCTCAAAGGTCTTCTAAGAACACCTTTGAGGCCCATCATCTTCACAGCCTGTCTATTCCCTAAAGCCTCCTGGATTTTTGCCTTCCAAACTGACTCTGGGTCCCCCCTTTCAAGACACGTGATGACCCTAGAGCTCTCTGAGGGCCGGCATCACGTCCTGTAACAGTCCGAGGCCCTATGAAGTTGTGCACACTCTGAGTTAAGCCTGGGTGTCTTGCCCATCTCTGTAGCCCTGCAGCACTCAGCACCGTCTTTGAGTAGAAAAGCTGCTTCAAGAGCTGCTACACTGATTTTTTTTGTTTTTTTGAGACAGAGTCTCACTATGTTGCCCTGGGTAGAGTGCTGTGGTGTCATAGCTCATAGCAACCTCCAACTCCTAGGCTCAAGTGACTAACTGGTCTCAGCCTCCAGAATAGCTGGACAATAGGCACCTGCCACAACGCCTTGTTATTTTTATTTTTATTTTTTAGAGATGGGGTCTTGCTCTTGCTTAGGCTAGTCTCTGAGCTCAAGCAATCCACTCATCTCGGCCTCCCAAAGTGCTGGGAGCTACACTGGATTTTAAGCATACCTGCGGTGGCTCGGGTGTCCTCCTGCACGGCAGCAACCGAGGCTGCAGAGGCGCCCCTCCCCAGGCATGCTTCTCACCCATCAAAACGTCAACTGCAGAACCCAGCGGAGAAAAATGCCCCCCCACCTCATTATGGACAGTCCCAAAGCAGACTCAGAAAAACAAACCCCAACACCTGGCTCTGCATCATCCGTGTAGCTGTTACAGTGGGGTCCACTTGGAAAAAAGCTTTTGATTTTCCTTCACTGGGAGACTAAGGTAACTCTCCGATCCCTTCCCCTGCAAAGCTACGAGCACCAGTCTGAGTGACTGTAACACTGTCTTAAGACTAGTCTCTAAATACATATTTGCTTTTCTGAATAACAGACTGTTGCTATAGCAAAGCTCAAATCCTAGCGTGGGCGATCTCCATCTCCATTCACAGCCTGGGGTGGGGGAGTCTGTAAAGGCGGTGCCCTGGTGGGTCCAGCAGGAAGGAGGCCCACGTTGGAGAGAGCTGGGTAATTTCACCAGAACACACACAGCCCCAGGGACAGCAACACACTATGGCTCCTTCGGGAGCACTGTTACTTGTAAAACAGCAAATATTTCCAGAAAGATCGTCAGAGTAGACCAGCATGTGTCATTAGGTCAGCACAGGTGTTTCATTTCGCTTGTGTTTCTTGCCCACTCTGCGCAGAAACATACTTTCACAGATAACTGAACGTTAAGAGAATTTGCACTAGTGGAATCCTCTCTGAGTTCATATTTAGCTAGCACTTCCCAAAGGCATATGAGAAATTTTAAATCCTCAAAGAGGTGAAGGATTATAATTGTCAATGAAGCCACATTCTGAAGCCTACACGGAGGTGCCTAAGACTTGGGTGAAGAACTGGCATTCACACACTGGCTCGGGGAAGTTCAATGCGCTGCCTGGAAGCAATGGGTGAGGTTTTAAAAGGATCCTTCAGTAACCTGAATTTCTGGCTGGAGGTACGCTTGTTAAAGGCATTTTTTCATAGTTCCTAACCTCTGTGATCATGAATAAAACAAAGTTTTTCTTGGATGCTCCTAGTGAAACCATACAGTGCTGTATTGTTAAGTTTTATGATTTCAAGGTAGCCAAAAACAATTTCAGATGAGACTTTGCAGCCAGGAGTTTCTGACACTTTGGCACCTATCCTTCCCATCAAGCTTCATCAGGTAATTATCTTATGTTCCAGGAAATAGAATTGAAATTTACCAAGAAGACTTTACGTCCACGTTGGTTTTCTAGGATTTACCTCTATACATGTGTACTTGAAATGAAGACCATGATTTCTATCTATACACTAAATTAGGCCCACTTAAATGCAGATTGTCAGCTCTCTCCAGCAAGTGACTCAGGCCATCTGAGGGCTACTCTCAAAGGCCTGGGAAGCAGGAATCGAAAGCATCTTTCAGACTACACTCTGCATCCTGACTACAGGGCACAGAGGGGGCTCACACGCCAGAGTTCTGGGCCTGTCTCCACTAGGCTATGCATGTTCTAACACGATTATACTCTGTGGTGAGAACAGGTATAGGAGAGGAAGTGAGAATGGCCGGGGATCTGGGCTGTGGGAAGACTGTGGTGACAAGAAGTGAGAGCTGAGTGCCACTGTCTGCACCAGCGTGCACCACCAGGGACTCCCCAAGGGACCTCAGGGGCAGAGGAGGGGCCGGGAATGTTCGATCCTGCTCCACACTTGATCCTCTATCTCCACCTCAGCTCTGTCAGAGGTGCTTGGGGGGATGCCCTTGGGTCAGGGTGCAAAGTGGGGGCGGGGGCTAGTCAGAAACCTCTCCTGAGTCCACAGTACCCCCTCTCAGAAGCCCAGACAGAGTGTAAAGCAGGCCAAGAGGTTTCCTGCTTCCCTTCACAGGCTCTTATTGGGGTGAGACAGACGTGAGCAGTGGCTCTCAGCTAGTTCACAGCAGAACGGTCACTGTGAACGGTAAAGTAGCAGGCTGCCTGCTTCTTTGCCATGTTTCATTTTAAAACATTAGATACTGTTTGGGGGATATGTTTTCCCAGCCTTTTGTTTCAGAGTAAAAGCCCACAGGTTTAAATAATAATAAAGCTATAATGCAGGTGTCCTCAAACTACGGCCTGCGGGCCACATGCAGCTGCCTAGGACATTTATCTGGCCCGCCAGCTGTTTTTGCTGCCGCTGCCTGTCCTGCTTAGCAGCCAACTTGTCCTGGGGCCCGCAGTCCGGCCCTCCAATGGTCCGAGGGACAGTGACCTGGCCCCCTGTTTAAAACGTTTGAGGACCCCTGCATAATGAAATAGACATTTGTTGAAGGACGGCAGGATGGGCCTGACCAGACCACAGGTCAGGAGGGTTGTGTGGCTCTCTCTGCTGGGGAGGACAGAGCGGCTGTCGACAGAGCTTTCTGCCCAAATTAGCCTGTCACATCTGAACCTTGCTGGACCCATGTCCTGCTGCGTGGACGCTGGGTGTGAGCGCGCAGAGCAGCACGGAGAGACTGGCCCAGGTGCTGGGAGCTCAGGCACTCAGACCTGCATCTGTCCCTCAGCCAGCTGGCATGAGGCCAGAAAGTGCTCATTTAGCTAAAGAAACAAACCACAGAAACAAAATCTAATATATTCTATGTATTTTTTGAGTTTATTTTCCCTGTTGCAAACAAATCATTTCTCCTTCGGAATACTCTAAAAGTGATCATGGGACAACAGTGTGGAAAAGCATTATAAGGTCAGCATCAGGGGAAGTTTCAATTCACCCCCGTTAGTTTCTGAAGGAAAATATTCCACAGTTACCTCCAACACCCTCAATAATAGCTTGACCTTATGAAGGGAGGCAGGATTGACAAACAAGAAAGTGTCCCTCCCTGGAGAGCCCCATCGATCAAATGTAACCTGAATAAGCATGTTTCAGACCCTGAGCCAGGCAGGTTCTCACCTTGTCAAACGCAGGATAGACAGCTCGGATTTCCGTCAACCAACCATATGGCATGTGGCCCACGGGGTACGTGGCTGTCAAAATTGCCACTGCCTGCAACAGAAGAGTTAGTCGTGTTAGTGTGGGTGTTAGCAGAATGTCCCCTCCATGCTGCTGTGTGTTATGTGACACAATGAGAAGTCAGATATGGCCATGGAAGTCAGATCCCTCCACCCTGGGAGACAAGTGATAGTCAAATCCTGGATGGCTCCGGACAGGGGTGAGGACTGGCCACCTGTTGTGCCCTCAGGCACTGTGCCCTGGTCCTGACAGTGGGGCTAGTGAGCCAACCAGTGTACCTGAGGCAAGGAGGGTGTGTCTTGTTTTATGTGACTCCAACGAGAAATAGGTTCAGATTCAGGCTTGGGAAGTTAAGATTTTACCCCAGGTCCAGCAGACTCCAGACCTTTGCTCATTCCATTGAGCCAGACTGAACCCTCTGGCTTAGCCCTCTTCTTTATTCTTCAGATGAAACCCTGGCTGTCCCTGCTCTCCGGAGAGTCTCTGCTCCACCTGTAATCCCCCACCCTGTCCTTTAGGGTGGCTGGCACGGCACCTGAAGGACAGGGTGGGGGCTCAGGGGTGGAGCAGAGACTCCACGTCTGACTCCACTTCCAGCACGGCTCGGTCCCAATCTGTCCTGTCAGTATGGGCCAATGGAGATTTTACTTAAGCAAAAACTCAGTTAAGTATTTCGTACACGGAACTACCAACAGGTTTCTGAGAGGATGAGCGTTTCTTCTTTTATGTGAACGAAAAGGAAGAAAAACGAAAAGAGGCCATCGAAACCCACATTCCGGCAGCGTTCAGCTCTCTGACTAGTTGCTAGAGGTACAGCACAGGCTTCCTCTATTTTAAATAGGAGGACAGTGACGCACTGGTGTGAATCATGAGGCAAGTTCCCGGCTGTGTAAAGAAACCGTGGCGTGGCGTGGCATGGCGGAACAAAACAGAGCTCTGGAGTCAGACAGACCCAGACCCGAACCCTCACCTCTCAGCTTGCCAGCTGTGTGAGTGGGAAGCCTCCTCCAGTGGAACGGTCAGGGTAACGATCCCCCCTCACAGCCTTGTCAGGGAGGCAGAGAAACCTGCATAGGTGCCTGACTCACAGGAGATGGCCTTTGAACATCAGCTCTCTATCCCACAGGCTGTGCCCACGTGCCAGTGACAGCAATTTAGAAATGGCTGTAATCCACAGTTTGTCTTTTTTTTTTTGAGACCGAGTCTCACTATGTCGCCCTCAGTAGAGTGCCATCACAGCTCACAGCAACCTCTAGCTCTTGGGCTTAAGCAGTTCTCTTGCCTCAGCCTCCCAAGGAGCTGTGTCCTTTTCTTTTTTAAGGGGCGATGGGCTTCTAGCACCCAGGTGATGTGGGGCCCCTACTTTTTACTGGGAAATTTGAACTGAAGTCTTTGGGCCCCAAAGCTGCCAAGTTATGGTAGCCACCCAGGATGACATTCATGACTCAAAAAACAAAAGCCAGGCACACACTGAGGCCGAGAGAGCATTCCATTTTTGATTTATGGGCTTCTCTTTCCAGGCCAGTACGAGGTGCTTCCCAGGACATGGAAACTGGCAAGCTGCTCTGGGTGAGATGCTGACAGTGGGGCTCCGGGCTCCAGGCTGCCCCTTGCAGAGGTGACGCCTACACTGGAGCCCTAATGAGCAGCCATGAGCCCGCCTTAGGGTCAGCGGTCCCAGAGACAGAATTAGCTGTCCAGAGGGCAGAGGAGGAGGAGACAGATGAAGTAATTGTGTTTGTTCAAACCCAAATGGAAAGGGAAAAAATGAGTCAACGCTTTCTATGGAGCAGCAGCCAGTTTCCAGACCAAGTTCTCGAGCTGCGAGCAAGTTAGTCAAGGAGATGCATCGGGGAAGGTAGGCCAGGAGCTGGGAAAGCCAGCAGGGGTGGGGCGCTGAGGGAGGAGGGGCGGGGACGGGAGGGCAGGCCAGGTCGCGCCCAGGGGCCTGCACCCTGTGCTTTCTCATCTGCTCTCGTGCATCATGTGCCGCGGTGAGGAGCCACGTGCTGGCTCCATGGGAGATGGAAACTGAGTGGGAGTCAGAAAACCCGGACTCCACTCCCAGCTTCTGTGCCTCGATTCTGATTCTTCCCATGGTGAAGAGAAGGATGAATTGCATGTTTTCTTCCAGAATTATAAAACATGAAATTACATAATTATAAGTGACTGAATGAGATCTTTATGGCTTCCTAGTGTGACTGTGTCATGCAACTGAGATCACTGAATTACCTGAGCTCTCAAGATGAACTAGAAATAAATTATACCCCCTCTCCACCCTGCAAGTGACTGCAGGTGCCCACATCCCCCCAAAGCGTCCTACCTCCGTAGCTGCAGAACTGCCACCAAGGTCCCGGGAAACAAAGAGGTTGACGATAGGCCTGCTGATTCTCTGTGTAGCCAAAATTAGGGCCAAGGGCCACCAGAAACTCAGCATCTTTCTTATGGTTGCATCTCCCTGTATTAAGGAATAGAGAAAAAAGTTTACTAAACTCTAGAAATAGAATAGAAAAAAATGACTGAAAATGAAAGCTTTTCCTTTTTGTGTCGACCAAGAGTCAATTCACTGCTCTTAAAATATAAGGAAAATTCTCTGTAGACGAGCCAAGCTGAATTAAAATAAAATGTTCCATCTTATTAGAAATTAACTCAGACAGTTGGCAAGTAACTCTGAAATCAAAACACCCATTGAAGCTTAATAGGTCCTAACTACTATTTTTCCATGCAAGAAATTTCTAACCAAGGTAGGACCCAACCCATAACCTGAGAAACAGGTTTGAAATTAGTCTGTTTATCTCATCAAATGGACTGGCTAGAAGTCATGTCTGTGAGAGGTAGCTGTTAGAAACAAAAAAATTATTATAATTTATCTTGGACTCATATAAACCTGCCTAATTATTTCAGCACTGTATCAATCTCCTACAAAACCTCTTACTCTCAAACCTCTCATCGAAGTCAAATAAACTGTAAATAAGCAAAATGAAAGTGTGGCAGAGAACAAATGAGTTTTTAAGGCTTCTGTGGCAACGGTGTATAATGCCTTGAAAGCCTGGCTTCCACTATGCAATTTTGGTTTTGATCCTTCACGGGGATGACAGTTACACCACGCAACCACTTTATTTTCCTTTGCTAGTGGCTGAACGTGAAGAGAAGGATTGTTACGGTCAAGACCAATTCGTGGCTAACCGAGTGATGGAAATAACTAGATAGAATTTCACTGATGGACTGACCTCGAATAGAGGTAAGTGGTCGATACAATTACTGTTTTGACATGACAAAAGTAACGTCTGGTCCAAGCAGGCACTGGGGGTGAGGTGTGGTGATTCCTTCCAGGCTATATATAATCATCCATATCTGCCTTAACGCTAGATGCAAACAAACCCAATGATGTCTAACACCTCTGGGGAGAAAAATTAATGCACACAAGTCAGATACTGTGTATACTTATGACAGACAGAATGCTCTGGCCACTGGCGTGAGGTTGTTTATCTTACTGTTTCTTATTCAACTTTGAAGGCGAAGGCCAAGCTGTACCTTCTCCAAGGAGGCGTCTATTTTACTATGTCTACCTCAGTGTTGGTGGCTCTTAAATCCCTACTGTGCTGTCTCAGATTCACGCCTAACTGATGCTTTTGTGAGGGTGTGATCTGCCAAATGGGACATAAAGCTGCTCCAGGGTAGAGACCACATCTTAAAACTTCCTGTGTTGTCCTGTGACACCTAATTCTCTGCTCTGTCCCTAGGAGGTACCTGGGTAAGAGACGGTGATGGGCCAGTGCAGAAAGCCTACACAAAGCCTCAATCTCTGACGCAAAATTAATAACAAAATGTGAACTCAGAGGAATCACGGGCCCTAGAATCTTTAATTTCCAATAGAGAGGAAGAGAAACCATAACTGTATCTGCTCCTCGGCCTGACGTAACGTGCCGTGCCTGGGTCTTCTCCTCTGGGAGGAGGAGGCTGCACGGTGACCGCCACCATCACATCCATCCGTCAGCGTGACTAATTCTCCAGCTGCCTTTCCTACAGATGCTACCTAAAACTTGGCCTCTGGGCGTGACCTCAGGGGCAGCTGGATTATTTGTTTTCCTTGATTTCTCATTTCCTGTGGACGTGGGACACCATTTCCATTGATTTCTCCTTCTCCAGAGATGTGGTCTCAGACCACGGGTCGGGAAAGACGTACCCCCAGCTCGGGTCCACTCCTGTCGGGGATGATGTCGTGGATGTTCTTGTAGTAGCCCAGGCACAGGGTGGTGCAGCGCACGAGGGCGCCCATGTACAGGGAGAGGATGGGGATGAGCAGCGGCTCCCGGCACTCCAGGTGACTGTGAAGCAAAATGGCTACGAAAACAACCTGCGGGAGGGGAGACGGAGCCGGTCAGACGGCGGCCAAGGGCACCCATCAGCACACGTGCAGGCCCACCCTGGTGAAAACGCAACTTTGATGCAGTGGGGGCGGAAACTCGGGCAATGACTTAACGTTTAACATGTTCATCGTTTTGTTATGTCCACACAGAGATTATCTGAAAGCAACTTCATGCCTGATTAAGACTACTGCTTAAAGAAAAGAATTATCTGGAAACTCTGGCCTCCCAGCCCCCAGTCCCAGGTGTAGTCAGAGCTCTTCTCTCTCGAGGTTGGACACTGGGGTATGGGCACAGCGTAAGTTACCTTCCACAGAGGAAAAAACAGGAGTGATCGATAAAGAGGAAAGTGGATATTAACATTTATAGGAGGGGAGTCGCTAAAACGCTGCAGTAGCAGCACACCAGCAGGGGTTACCGTAGAGCCTCCACGGCTGACCACCTCCTTACGGTGACCCAGTTTGCAGAGACCGGACACGCACCACAGGTACACACCAGTCCAGTGGGCCCAGTTCCTTATGTTGAACACCTCTGTATGTTGACCAGTTTGTAACGGTGCCTTGTGTGGTCAACTTCCAGAGGTTCTACTATATTATAAAATAACCTACGTTCAAGTTTAAAATATAAACTTATAAAAGTAGAGTAGGTTGAAATAACCAGAGTCAGGAATAATTGTCATTATAACGAAGTGTCAATCTTTATCCAATGGTACAATCTCTCAAGCAAATCTCACAGTGGGTTAGCCTCCCTGTCCTGCAGAAATCAGAGACTCAAGCCAGCCTTTGTCCAGAGTCCTCCTGGGATCTACTCACGCAGAAGACCCACGAAAGTTGGGTAACTTGGGGAGGTGAGAGTAATTCTGAGCTACATCAACATTAATAGCCAAATATTCATGGAAAAATAGGCATATAAAATATGATGCCACTAATGATCCTGACCAAAGGATTACCCTAACCACTGCATTACTGAGAATCAGTGGTGGTGGGAAGTTGCAAACTAAGCCGGAGAATGAGCATGATTTATCATGTTGGTACATTCCATTGCCACAGGGAGCCCACCGGAGCAGGGTGATGGAGAGAAACTTCTGAATGAGACAAAGGTATTAGAGGCCAGAGGCGGTTTGCTTATAGCAGGGGTCCTCAAAACTTTTTAAACAGGGGGCCAGTTCACTGTCCCTCAGAGTGTTGGAGGGCCAGACTGTGGGCCCCGGGACGAGTCAGCTGCTAAGCAGGACAGGCAGCAGCAGCAAAAACATCCGGTGGGCCCTATAAATGTCCTAGGTGGGCCACATGTGGCCTGCAGGCTATAGTTTGAGGACGCCTGGCTTATAGCATAGACTGACATGTGTGCCCTGGCTGTCACCTTGTCACAGACTTCAGAGGTGCTATGTGGACACAACCAGGCAGCCAGGAGCACAGGCACTACCCAAAAGCAGACCCGAGCCTGGGCAGCACTCAGTCTCCCACTCATATGCTTACATGCATGTTCACACTCACGTGCTCATGTTCACATTCACATATTCACATGCTCATATTCCCATGCTCACATGCATGTGCACTCATACACACACATGCTCACACTCAGCTCACGCTCACACTTGCCACAGATACGTGGGGTTCAGTGATGGAAATGAGGATGCCTGTGACGTTCTCCACGTGTGCTGCTTCCAAGTGGACCAACCATAATGTATTAACGGCCAGACGCAAAGGGACGCACTTCACTTCTACAGCACCTACAGTGTAAACTGAGGTGACGTCTAGACACAGCGTAGCTGTGTGAAATTGAATGCTGTCCTTGAAGATGAACACTGGACAAAGTCTCCACCAAGTCCAGGAAGGCTCCACAAGACACAGGCCTGGCGAGCAGGACCGGGGAGGGGTCTGGACAAGAGGGAAGTGGGAGGCACAGGCATGAGCAGGGTGAGTGTGGAGAAAACAAGGCAGTGTGGGTGGGTCCAGCCGGGAGTGTCCCCAGGGCCAGATGCAGAAAGCGTCAGTCTCCCTGCGTCTCCCAGGTGGATAGCTGGGGCTGCAACACTGATTCTGGACCACGGGGACTGTGTTGTTCATCAATTTACAGTAACACTTGTGACCTTTCAGTCCAGAACTAAGATTCCGAATCTTGATTTATTTCTTGAAGGAACCTACTATCTCAGCGGTGAGGTAGGTGTGTGCTGACTCTGGACAAGGTACTGGAATTCAGTGATACATGAGACCGTCCCAGACTCTGTTCCATGGTAACTGACAGCCCAATGGAAGAGGCCAGAATGTTACCCAGAGGCTGAAGCCAGGGAGTGTCCGCTGCAGAGTACCGTGAGAGGACAGGGGTGTCCTGTGGGGGGGGGTAGTGGTGGCCGCCAGAATTTCACTGTGGAAAGTGACTGCAGTGGGTGGTTGGGGAGAGACGGTTGGGGAGAGGCAGCTTCCCCAACAGTAGATGGGGGGAGATGGGAGCAGGATGGCAACGGATGGGAGGGGACAGGGTGGGCCACAGGGATGGCAGAGTGGGCAGATTACAGAAATACCTAGGATTAAAACCTAAATAGTTTAGGGATGAAGGGAGATTCTTCTAGCGTCATTGCTGGCTTTGTGACCGGATGGTAGAGCCATCGGGGAGCTCAAAAATGAAGCACTTGACACAGAAGACGAGAGTCAGGCTTAAGGTGCCTTGGAAGGGTCTGAGCGAAATGTCACAGGGATGCTTGGAGAGACTTCTGGAGCCTGCAAGACAGCACCGGGCCACGGGTATTTATCTGGGGATCACAAATCATGTCACTGGTGGGATAAACCAAGTGCATGAGTTAGATTCTTCACAAGTGATCAGAGAATGAGGAGAGGGAAAGACTCTGGGGAACCTTGACATGCACAAGTCAGCAGAGGAGAATGATTCTTCAGGAACTGGACAAAACGGACTACAGGGTGTGAGGGCCAGCAGGGAAGGAGCATTTCACCCGGGAGTAGGCCACAGAGTGAAGGTAACTAACATTGCTCACTGGGTTTACTGACACGAAGGTCATTACTAAGAACCATCTGGGTGGAAGTCACCTCAAGTAGAAAACAGTAAAAGGGAAGTGAAAAAATGGAGACAGTGAGTAGAAACCATCCTTCCAAGCAGTTTGGTTAGGAAGCAATGAAGGGTGGAGAGAGAATGATCAGTACAAATCTTCTTGGGATCCAGAGAAAGCTTGTTGGTATGTCAAGATGGAAGGTATTTGAGTTTGTCTACATGGTAAGAGAAATAGGGGGACAAGAAGGAATCAGGCTCCTGAGAAGGCAGGACAGGCCAGGATCCGAGGGACAGACAGGGAGGGGACATGGCCACAGGAGGAATACCTCCTCCTAGAAGGAGGGGAAATAGGGATGACCCACGGGTTTGGGGGTTTGGGGGCAGGAATGTAAAGAATCTGGTTGCTTTAAAAAAATAAAAGTTTAAAAATTAAAAAAAAAAGAATCTGGTTGCTTCAATTTATTGTACGGTGTGGGGAGAGGTGCTCTGAAGCAGCTCCTGCAGCATCAGCGGAGGTGAGGGCCAGGCTATGTGTTTGTGGCTTGCTCAGTTTGCCCCCTTGGGTAACTGTGCAGAAGCTTTTGCTCCTGGGTGTAGGTGGAGGAATATGCATGACTCAGGGTTGGTTAGGACTAGGATTTTGTTGGAAGGCTGAGATGAAAAGATGACAGGAGATGAGGGAATTTACAGATTGTGATCTCATCATCTTTGGGATGTCATCCGACCTCAAAAGCCACGGGCTGATGACAGCAGAGGGGTCAGAGGATGAGAGAACCCAGGGAGGATAAACAGCCTCGAGAAAATTCTCATTGTGATGGTGAGCAGACTAAGAACATCTAGAAGGCCACGAAATAAAGCAAAAATAGTAATATTTTTTTCCCCACATCCCTTGACAAGATGAAGGACTGGAATATCTAAGTACTACAATAATGGTGGAACGGGGAATCATTGCATGTTTGAACCTAACCAAGAGCTTTTTTGGGTATTACAACGTGAACTATGTAAAGTCAATTAGTTTAGTAAAATTTAAAAAAAGAGAAAACTGCCATTGAAATTCAAGGCATTATAAATGATTTCTATTTTATCATGGGTGAGAACTTGTCGTTTACACCGAGATGGCATTTCACGGCGTTCTGTATTAATATCTATTTACTCACTACCAAATTAGGCAACTCACATATGCTTCCAGGGACTGTGAGGAGGCTTGGGGGTAAAAGGCTTAAAAACAAAAAGAGAGCTCATTCCTCCAACGAAACTGGTAGGAACTCAAACAGAAAGGTTGAAAACAACTAATCTACCAGGAACAGCCTGACGCCAGATGGCAGGTGAACTCAGCTCTCCTGCTCCTGCTAACCAGATCTGTTTATTCTGAACTTGGAGCCCTCCCTCAACAGGCAAAGACCAGGGATCAGGTTTAAAATTGAGAAGGAAAATGTCTGCAGGTGTGGTGGCAAAGTATTTATAGATATATGAGGTCAGACAATTAAGTAGGAGAACTCATCCCAGAAAAAGCCCTACCTACCTGATCGCTGAATATCACTATGGTCACCAGATGGCCCAGAGGATGACTTCGAAGGTGACTGTAGTGATATTCATTGATGAGGTAGGTAATACTTTTTCTAGGATGAGTTCTGGAACGTAATTGTCTGACTTCATATACGTTTCTCCCCTCTGTCCTAGGATGCTTACTATATTTATTTTAGGCAAAGTTAAGAGCGTCTTTTCTTTTTTTCTCACCTTTAAATAAATACACATCTAAAATGTGAGCTCACAAATGCTCACTGGATTTTGCTGATGCTAATGTTTGAAATCAGACGTGCTTCCTTAATCTACTACTAAGTGATTAATGTGAGGCAGTTCAGTTCATTTCTCCGAGGATGGTGAGTGTAAGACTGAGACAAAACTCTCTACTAACTACAAGAAAATTAACAAAGGTATATTAAAGAATGATGTTAGCTGGTGTACAGACACATACACACACGCGCGTGCACAGTGTTACAGAAATGGACTTAAATTACTGTGAATAAGGATCCATGGAGTAAATGCGACTCGTGGAAATTTAATTCTTGGGTCTTCAGGGAGCTGCTCATAGGTCAGCGGTAGAAGATGTGCACTCGGGGTAAAATGCATAGACATGTTCATAAAACAGAAAGGAAAAATTGGAAGGGAGCTTAAAAGATCATAGTCTAACTTCCTCTTCTAGGAAGAAATCATTCTCAATCAAATCCCTTATTGTAGGAACTTAGTTTTCTTTCTAAATTCTAGGAATTAAACCTAATTTTCCACTAAAATGTTTTGTGTGGTATCCGTGGTGGAAGAAGGAAAGATGAGACAGAAAGCCAGGGCTGGATGCCAGACCCCAGAGAACTGGACCCTACAGGGAGGGGACCAGGTCAGACTGTGGGGAAAGACAAGTGACCTGACTTCCTGGATCTTTTTGAATGTGGAGAAATGGCCTAGGAATAGCAGCTCTGCATGGCAACCACATAAGAAACCAGATTTAGGAACAATTGCTAAGAGCACTCTCTCTAGAACAGAGAGACAGGCTGCAACTTGCCGGCATGCAGAGGGCACTCACCCAGTGTACAGCGACCCTGTGACCACCCCAAAATGGACTAGGAATGACTTCATAGTCCGCATACTCTTTAAAGGTCAAAAATCTCAGTATTACATTTAAATTCTTACAACCTTTATTCCAGCAAGATTACACCTACTTTTATTACAGGGAGTTTTCTTTTCTCATTCATTTATTAGGTCTCTATCGGATGTGATGGTGTTGCTGAAACCAGCTGAACGCGGGAGGTACCGCCCAGTGAACAGACACAAAACACCACCAGTTACATGCACCAGAAGGGGACCCTGAGTCAGGCTGATTGACACACAGACCAGACTTACCTGAGCTATGACATCTGAGATTGAGGCACATCCCACCAGGAAACTGTATTTGTGTTTCAAGAGAATGCCAGCATGGGTCCATGCCTGCCGGAGAGGAAAGAATTTGGCGTGAGATCTGCTTTCAGGATTCTATTACTTCTGGTCATAATGATATGTCAGGCATTCCTGAAATACCCTTTATATCCCCCCAAACCTTGGCATAGCAGAGTTTCAGTAAGTCTTTGGTTGGTAAAATTACTGTAGCTTAGTCTGTGGCTAGTTTCTCCACATTAGATTTTTAAGTAGAATGAGTGACTGCATGTGGTCCCCCTCTCCGAGCGGTCTGTGTCACGAATCCATGGCTTGTCCTCAGAGGATCATGTGTCATAATGGGGGCTCTAATTTGGTGCTGAGTCACTCCAGGCAGGACAGCTTCTCCTGGACAAATTAGTGTCCCTACTATTTTCTTGTCTTCAGCGTTGGACCGAATGGGATGTGACACTTTGTGTCTTTGAGGGAAATTAAGAAGAAGGTCCTATGAAGGGAGCAGAGAATGAAGAGCCCCACCCCGACCCCCAGGACAGCTGGTTTGGGGGAGATTTCAAGTTCATGGTAGGATCTGCTTAAGCATCATCCTCTTCAAGGCCAATTTGGACTGACAGAATCAAAGTGGCCCTTGAGCGGCCCACGACCAGATGAGCAGGGTCTGTCCCCTAGGGCCTGTCTAGACTTTGCACAGCAGCAGCCACTCCCCACCTCGGGCTCAGCAGTGCCCAGGTGACAATGTGATAAGCAATGCAAACTGCAGATAACATTTGCTAACAGAGAACTGTGGGCTGCCTTTGTTGTCCGAAAGCCACCTGGTGAGATGGCGATAAAAATGGGTGATAAACTTTGTGGCTCTCAAACATTGTCTCCAGCACAAACATCAGGGCCCTGCCGCCAGCGCCAGCGGGTGGGGCTGGGCTGAGGGCGGGGAGGAGATGGCGGGCTCTTTATAGATGTCCATTCTGTGGTTTTATCAGCAGTCCTTACTGTTTATTAGGGTCTTCGGGGGGAATTTATATAAGAAACATGGAGGGGAGGGTAGTGGTCACAAACGTTCTGTGTCATGCTGCGTTGTAGAAAATCTCTCGTGGCCAATAAATACAGCCAAAGGGACACAGACTACTGGTTACTGAAGAGTCTGCGATCACTTTTATTAACAGTCCCGAGTTCCTGGAATTCTCTGCACAGCTGTAATTCTTCTGTGTTCAGATTCCCTCTGCACACACGGATGGGAGGAAGGAGATGAGAGAGAGCATGGGCTCTGTCAGGCAGTCGGGCTTCCGCTCTCTGGGGACGGGAAGATCGTCACTCCTGTGGTTCTCCCTGGGCATGAGTTTAGGTGCCGTAGGGGAGCTGGTGCTGAGGACTGTAACCTCTTTGCCTCTTTCCGAGTCAACTGTATCAGCTCCCAGCGTATATACACCCAGCAACAAGCAGGACAAAAAAGATCCAGGTCCAAGTGTTCAGATGGCCCGATTCTCCCACCCAAAGTGATGCCACAACAACGAACCAGAACTTTCATTCCAACTCCGAGTTTAACGTTGAAGGCTACCGTGCAAACCAGGAGAGAGCTGTCAGGGATTCCATGACGTCTATCTACAGGCGAGCCGAGTCTTACGCCAACACTGGCGAAGATGAACCCTGCATAGGTCTACTTCCCTCGTTCCTGCAAGGGCTCGGGGCTGCTGCCTCCCTCAACACAGACATCCGCTTACCTGGGAGGCGGCCAGAGGTGTGGGGAGGGGAGGAGGGGAGTTACTGGTAAAAGAGTACAGTAGAGTCTCAGTTTTGCGAGACAAAATGAGCTCTGAAGACTGATTACACGGCAACATAAATGGACTTCATTACACTGGACGGCAAACACAGAAATGGTGAAGGTTGTGTTATGACTACTTTACCCCTGTTAGAACAAAAAGGCCGACTCACCATCGCATCCATGAAGGGGAAGGCGGCGAGATAGAGGAAGGCCCTTCTGGTCTTGTTGCCCACCGACTCGTCCACGTGGTGCAGCTTGTTGATGATGTAGTAGCCTAAGTCACTGTACGCTGCGGAGGGTCAGAACACACGGGAGACGCTCAGAGAAGACATCTTCACATGCCTCATGTTTCAAAACTCAAAAACAATTTCAAATGTAACATTAATTTCTTATAGAAAACCCAGAAAATTTAGATAGCAAATGGAAGAAAAATCATCTAGTAAAACAAAAATGTCATCTTCAAAAAAAAAAAAAAAAAGAAGAAAATCTTCTATGCTCTCACCCCTCTACCTAGGGGGGTCCCGATGGATACTCTGTGTTCTAATCACCAAGTTCTGTATGGTGTATGTTTTAACATAAAAATGAAATCCTATCTACATAGGCTCTTTGGTATGAAAATCTTCCCAGGGTAGGCCTCTACATTCTAATTCATGGAGTTCCTTTTTGTGGGTTCACTTAGCATCAGCTTCCTTTGGCTCCTATTGTTGTACATTTAAGCCGTTTCCACCATTTTGATACAAAAGAATGCTGAATGGATAGGTCCGAAGCGAAATGTTTACACGTATTCTTAATTATGTCCTACGAGAAAATTTCTGGATATTAACGCTTCTCTTTAATACAATTTTTGAAGCTTACTTTTCTATACTTGCCAGTCCTTTTATTTGAGGGAAAGAGAGTTGGGCATAGTCCTGCACAGTAGAGAAAGACATGGGGCGGGGGTTGCTTTTGAAGTTGTTCTGACGCCAGGATTTGTCAGCACCGTGTGTCTGGAACATGGTAGGAACCCAGCCGGCGGGGGCTGGATGGAAGCGCACGCCCAACAGGTGCAGGGGAGACAGAGAAAGGTCTTCCCACTGCACAGCCAGGTATCCCGACAGATATAAAAAAAACGCTGAGCTAATTTCCACCTCACTGATCTAGGTTTCTATTATATATAAAAATACTGATTCCAGTGTTTTCATGGTGTTTGCCGAGTGCTCTAACGGTGGGGTTCCTGCCGCCTTCCTTCTCTCCTGACCGAGGCTGTCAGTGTACTTGGCTACAGAAGCTGCTCTGAAGTCAGCATGGAGCTCCAGCACAGGAATCTCACAACCCTCAACATCCCAAAGCCTGGGGCACAACTTATAACCGTAAACTGGTAGAAAGAAACAACTGTCCATCCTTTGTCAGGAGCAGTCTTGAATTATGAGAATGCTGGATGAAGTGAGGGCTTGAGGATGAAATCAGGATCGCAAAGGCACAAATGGGAATTCCAGTGAGGGGTGGAGGTACATGTGAGAAATTTCCAGGGGTAGGAGGCTGGGATGACTCACTCCCAGACAGCAAGGTTGGCTGGGAGGTGGCACGTGCAGGAGGAAAGCTCCCAGTCCTCCCAGGAGGGGCAGAGCTGGACAAGTGGAAGGCCACCTGCCTGGTGAGCAGAGGTGCCAAGTGTGGAGGTGGTGGGGCCATCAGAGCCAATGAGGCAGCAGAAGAAAGGAGCCAGGAGAGGTGTCCCGTGGCAGAGAAAGAAAGACAGGTGAGACAGGCTTAGTTACGGCAGGGAGTGTGCAAGGGAGGAGGCAGCTGTGATGTCCCTGCTCTTTGGATCAGAAGCCGCAGGGACATGAAAAGTGGATTAGAGGTGGCCTGAGCTGGGAGGGCAGGGAGGGAGCTCTGGGGTGCTTTGCAGCAAGGTAAGAACTGCATTTAGACACACACTAAGCTGGCTGAAACAAAGCCAGAGAAAGATGTCACTTAATCATAAAAAGGGTTTACTTGGGGTGCTGAATCTGAACTGTGGACATTTAGTCTCAAAGTTTATTGTTGCTGCTGCTATCTGCACATTAGTTTTCATTAACTGGATAAATGTTCACTGTGCAGAGACGTACCAGGAAACAGTGTGGCCCCTGCCCATGCTGCCACCCTCCCCCCAGCTCCAGCACCTGCAAGGCTCAATGCAGCCAGGCCGGGTGAGCAGAGCAACCCGAAGCCAAGGGCAAGCGCATGGGGCTGGCTATGAATAGTTTACAAGCTTAAATCCCCTGCTAAAGGTTACAGTCCATATAAAATACCGGCTGAGCAGACTTGACTGCGGTGGCTAAAGCTGGCTACTGTGATTTGGTCAAAGATCTAGAAGGCGGGCGTTATAAGCCAAATTATGTACCCTCAAAATTCAGACATTATCTGGCTAAAAAGGTCATCGCAGATATAGTTAGCTGACATGAGATCACACCGGAGTAGGGAGGACTTCCATCAATAAGACTGATGCCCTTACAAAAAGGAGAAATTCAGAGGTAGATGCACCCAGGGAGAGCGCCAGGCAGAGATGGAAGGCAGGGAGCCGGTGAAGTTCTACTGGCTGGGCAAACCCCAGAGGAGGGGGCAGGACACAGGTCAGGTTACCTCACAGCCTCTGGGGGACCCAACCCACCAACATGCTGACCTCCAGCCTCCAGAACTGGGACCATAAATGTCTGTTGCTCAAGCCACCAGGTGTGTGCTACTTTCCCTACACCAGTGAGAATTCCTGTGTCAGCTCACTCCTTGTCCCTTTGTCTTTAAAAACCTGCTTGTAACAAAGGCTGAACTGAGCACTCCCCAAGGCCAACACACTTGGAACTGTGTCCCAGGCAGCTGTCCTCAACTTTGGCTCAAAGAAGTTTACTTTATTTTTTAATGTTTTATTTTTTTAAGAGACAAGATCTTGCTCTATCTTTCAGGCTGAAGAACAGCGATGTGATTATAGCTCATTGCAGCCTTGAACTTCTGGGGCTCGAATGATCCTCTTGCCTCAGCCTCCCAAGCAGCTGGGACTGCAGGTGTGAGCAACCAGCCCTAACTCTTTATAGACTTTGCCTTGATTCCTCTCTTTAGGCTGACAACCCCCTATGAACTGAACTACTTACTAAATACTAAACTATTTTAACAAAAACATCAAAGACAGTGCCTTTATGCAGGGTGAGTGGAATAAACACTCCTTTCTCCTCAGGATGGGCCCTGCCCAGCTGTCCCACGATGCCAGCTTGTGTCCCCCACCCCCACCTTTTTAGTACCCAGAGCTCTTCCTGCCTCCCTGGTTCCACAGTACTTTGGGACCTCTGGAGCTCCAGCTGCTTTTGCCTTTTTATTTTTTAATCTTCTTTTCATTTTAGTCTTTTCCTCTTTCAGCTACTAAAGGAGAAATTTGGAGGCCAAGGGAAGAAGCTTTTTCTCTCCATGTCCTTCTCTCCTTCCACTCCTCCCCTCCGTGGTAAGAGTCTGATTTTAACTGCAGAGGTTTTTTTCCACCAGGGGAGCTGTTGAGTGTAAAATCCCAGCGACTGTTTTTACCGACTCTCTCTACCCCCATCCCTCCCTCCTGTGCCCCTGCGCTATTTCCAGCCAGAGCTTTTAGGGAGAGGGAGCTTTGTTTAAAGGGCTTTGCGTAGAGCCCATAATGACCAGGCCAGCTGCCTTAGCGACATTTAGTAACCTTCAACTTGTATAAACTGCCTTACCTAGACTACTCTGAAACGGCTTGTATTCCTTACAAAGAGAAGCACATTATATATTAAAAAAAATAATAAACAAGGTTTCTGAACAGATGTAAACAGATTTTATGATGCTGCAAAAGCAAGAAGGCACAGGCTCGACCTGTTTACAGGTGGAAGCTTTGCGTCTGCCTAATAAGGGGAAACAGAAAGGGCCGTCAGGTCCCTGGCTCCAGCCAGCACTTTCTGCAAGCAGTGGCCCTCACACTCCGTCATCTGGCAGTTAGTAGCACTTGCTGCAAACCATGAAACCATGAAAAGGTAATATTAATCAAAACAAGTCTATGCACATATTTTTTATGTCCAAGATGGAAATTTGAGATCTCTGATTTTAATTCATTTTTCCAAGTTCTCAATGCTTAAAAATCTCACAGATATATTTATTGATTCACGGTGTCCTGCTTTTAAGGTGTTTCGTGGGAGCAGGTAACTTCACCCCTGTGCTTCTAGTGTATTATTTCCCAAGTGTGGGTGTTCATATGGCTGTCAGGACATATTTAAATGACCTCCACAGATATGCACGGAATGACCTGTGTGTATCAGGCACAGCCATGAAGGGGACAATTCCCTGCAGGAGGGCTGGGACACAGACATATAAATAACTCACTTATAATCTGTACCAGGCAACATTTGTCCAGAAAATAAGAGGATGGGAAATGTAACATTGCCTAGGCCTTCAAGAGATACACAAACCCACATATGATGTAACTGAAGTAAATATGAAGGCTCGGCACCCATAGCTCAGTGGTTAGGGCGCCAGCCACATACACCAGGGCTGGCGGGTTCGAACCCAACCTGGGCCTGCTAAACAGCAATGATAACTGCAACAACAACAAAAATATAGCCGGGTGTTGTAGTGGGTACCTATAGTCCCAGCTACTTGGGAGGCTGAGGCAAGTGAATCGCTTAAGCCCAAGAGTTTGAAGTTGCTATGAGCTGTGATGCCACAGCATTCTACTCAGGGCGACACAGTGAGACTCTGTCTCAAAAATATTCATTTATTTTTATTCATTTAAAAAATAAATATGAAATTTTAGCACAAGAACAAAAATTCTCTCATTGGTACCTGGCAGAGTGTGGCTCATAATAACGTACTGAAGGATGTTTCTTCTTTCTAGGGAACACGTCTTACACGTCTGAAAACCCAGGAGCTAGCCCAGTGTTTGCACACAGTAGGTGCTGAGTGAATAAACGCTCACATTCATAATCCAGAAGAGGTGACTGGGGTAGAATGATAGCAAAGATGTCTCCAATTCTCCCCTCTTTCTTACAGCCCCACTGCCTGTCACGTGATTTTTCAGCTCCTCCCGTCTAAAGTCGGGGTCTCCTTTCCTGCCCTTTACCCTGGGCTGGCTGTGACTCCCACACTCAGCAGTGGCAGTGGAAGTGACAGTGAGCTAGATCTTGGCCTCCAGAAGCTGTGTGTGCGTCTGAATTCTCTCACTTGAGGTACGGCCACAGCCACCTCAAGCAGTGCAGGCTACCTATGTTGGAGGGGTGACAGACTGGGTGGTGGGGAACTCAGCTGTCCCAGCAGAGGCCACCCAGCCCAGCCTGCCCTCAGTTGACAGCCCCCATGGAGTCTGCCAGGTCGGCAGAGCTGCCTCCTGACCCTCGGCTAACCACAGAGGCACAAACTCAGCCACGTCCAGAAGAGCCAGCCCACCAGCCCACAACCTGGCAAACAAAATTAAATGCTTGTGTTTTACATAGCAGTAAGTTGTGAGATTGCACTGAAACCGTTCGCTCTTAGCGCCCTAGGTGGTTTAAATTATGTCTAATTGAATCAATTTGCCCTTTACACAGCTCGTTTATAACCCATGAGTAATGGAAAAGTTTGAAAAGAGAAGTCTGGCTGAACAGAAGCAGTCTAGAAACTTCTCCAGCTGCTCCCTGTGGGGCACAGGGGCCTGCAGGGGTTCTGTTCCCCTGGGTTCTGCCAATTGTTCAGATTGCTTCAGAGCATGGAGAGGCCTACGGGTTACCACAGAGAATAAACATACAACGAAAGCCAAAACCCACGGCAATGGTTTGGACAGCCTTATGAATGTAGAGGTCAGGCAACACTAATTTCCATGCAGGTGAAATTAATTTGGACCCAAAAGGAACCAAACACAAGGTCAGCAGGCTTTCCTCTTCTGTAGATTCATTAAGAGGGAGGGAGAGGGTAACACCCGTACTGTGGCCTGATTAGGGTGTGGTGGCAGCAAACTCTGTGCTCTGCAGTTTTCATAAGTGGCATCTCACAGATGAGTCCATGACAGAAGTCCTGGTGGGGACAGTTAAGCTAAGAAAGCGACACTTCCGATACTCTCCAGCCTCCTGCAATTTGCATAGCTAAAGCCAGGCTTTGGGCGTGCACAGAGCAGACAGCAACGTTTGGGCCAGTGGACCTTCTGGAGTCCAAGTCTATCAATTCAACACAATCCCAAGTGTCTACTCATTCGGCTCCCTGCACAAGGCGCATGTGGTGTGGGGTGTCGCTGAGTACGTTCTCTGGAGCCATCTTTCCCTCACAATCTCCAACATTGCATGTGGTCGGTGGAACCCAGCCTTGCACTGGGGAAATCCATGACCAGGTGCAAGTGTCTCAAAGATGGGACAACACCAAGCTCACCAGTAGGGTTCAAAAAGAAAAAGAAATTAGAAAAAACAAATATGAAACACAAGGGAAAATAATTCCTTAACTGCAATAAATGTAAGCAAAAGGGCCTAGTGAAAGGTTCTTTCCTGCATGGGGCAAACACAATACAAAGGCGCTTGCAGGGCTCCCACCCTGGAGCCTTCTCAGCCATCCCAGATGACCAGGGAGTGATGCCCAGGGAGGTCAGGGCAACTAGGAAGCTGCGCCTGCAACTGATGTGTCAGCACCAGAGACATTCACGCTGACATCCCTTCTAACTGAGCAAGATCCTCCTCCAAGGATTGGCAAATTATTAGTAAATGCTGACCAGCATCAAGTGTTGAACTTCATCCAGATTGGGAGAAAAAAATCTAAGACAAATCACGCCAGAATAATTTTAGATGGCTACAGCAAAATGTTAATTTAGAGCACAGGGTCAAATCTGTGATTCCACTCTGTATCAAAGATAAGGAAAAATGATGGTGCTGAAACACAACTCATCCTTTCAGAGACAGCTAGGAAATGACCCAGTCCACGAGGACTATGTCAATGCCCCCCAAAAGATTCTCTTTCTGCTCTGTGCTCTCACATGTACTCGTATAAACGCCATCAAAAAATTAGAAGGACTTGGGAAAAGGAAATAAATCCATGAAGCTGATGGGGAACTATTACCTAAAGAACTGTTGAAGGCAATTAGACTAGCTTTTCCTGAACAAAAAAAAATAGAGAGAAATTCAGTGAAGCCTAAATTTCTCTGGTTCTTATTCCTGCTCTGTGATTAAGCACGGTGATTCTGTATGTGCACTCACTCCAGGCCTCACTCAGGAGCTGCGCAGGCAGGGAACACCTGCTCATTTCCATATTGGCCCAAGCAAATGCAATTAGGAAGACTGCCTGAGATCATACAACGGCTTCTGAGTCAAAAGTCTCTGGAATACTTGCTTTTTGGTTTTATCTATGACAATGTTCCCCTTTCACAAAGCAGAGTTACCCAAGAGCTGATGGTTAAAAGTAGCAGAGACGTAAGTAGCTGCTTTCGGCATTACTAGTAAGTGAAAATGAGTTTAAGTAACTAATGTAGGTACCGTTTCTGACATTGGGAGGGAAACGTTCCGCAGTGTAGGAAAATGGTGGTAAGAACAGGTGGGGAATAAAGAGAGAGCAATGGCCCATGGGGAGCGTGTGGTCAAGATTATGGGAAACAGAACAGGCAAGATCTGGAAATAGAGGAGTTTACTAAAAACAGAAGAAGATAGGAAGGTGAGCAAAGACTCATGATTCGGCAGAAGGCAGAAGCAAGACAGCGATTAAAGAGCTTGGTGCCCGTAGCACAGTGGTTACAGTGCCAGCCACATATGCCAAGGCTGGTGGGTTCCAACCTGGCCCAGTCCAGCTACACAACAATAACAACCGCAATAAAAAATAGCTGGGCGTTGTGTGGGCGCCTGTAGTCCCAGCTACTTGGAAGGCTGAGGCAAAAGAATCGCTTAAGCCCAGGAGTTGGAGGTTGCTGTGAGCTGTGATGCCGGAGCACTCCACCCAGGGCGATAGTAAGACTCTGTCTCAAAAAAAAAAGAGCTAGGCAGGAAACTGAAGTGAGGCCAACACATCAGAAAGAGGCAAGTCATTAAAATTCGAGTTTTAAGTGTTGAAAAGAAACTGATAAGTGCTTTCTTAGCAATTGTGGAAAACATTTGTTTGGTGGAAGAAAAAAATGCTATAATTATAAAAAATACCAAAAGTGATAAAATGATTCAATGTATCTATGACCTACAGCCATTTTGGTTTAAATTTAAAATCGTATGATCCTATTTTAACATTGAAAAACTTAGATTTATTTGGAAAATGGCGTTGTTTTTATGTCAAGGGCCACATTTTTCTTCTGATAATTTCAGTAACACAGTACAGTTCAACTTGTCTCTTCCGTAATTATTCACAGCTGGTAATTAGCTATTAGTCCTTATGTCTCATTCACCCGTGGCTAAATAGGGAATGTGAGATTTATTTAGAAGTCCCAGTAAAAAGACCAGTAGCAAAAGGGAACTTATTTACCTATTTAGAAATGCTCCTTATTTTCAAGCCATATAGCATTTTTTTCAAATGCTGTACATCTACCATCTTTAAAAATGGCCCAGGTCAAATTTAGCTGCAGAAATTTCTTCAATCACAGGTGCATATGCAAACACTCACTCAGAGTTAGCCTTCAGGGCATAAATTAGGGGGGTGAGAGGCATCTGCTCTTCAACCCTTGCTCTGGAGCTCTGAGCACAAGTGAAAGGATCGGTGTCAATGTTTTGGCTGAAGATTTGGCCCATCATTAGACACGCTCTCTTCCACACTGTTGTGAGCAGAAAATTCTAGGCCACATTAAAAGGAAAACCACAAAGGCCTTTCCGTCTTTATTTTTAGATTTGTAACTGTGTGAGTAAACATTAGCTACCAGGAGAGTCCACTATAAACAGTTTGGGTTAATCGTCTTTTATTTACCCCTGACAATCATACTTCTCCTGTAACCAGCAGCAATTTTAAGGTACACAATAGGTTTATGAAGTGTCATTCACAGGGCTTTATGCAACCGGCTTCAATACGTGTGCCATTCAATTTTTATGCCAGGTAGGCAAGGCTGTTTGAAAGCCAAGAAGTTATGAAATCATGCCCTTGGGGGCCCGTGGGGTTTGTTACCACCAAGAAGGCAGTGGAAGTGGCAACGGAACCATGAAGGAAAGGACTTTTCCAAGGTCTTGGTTGAACTGCAGATTGGTTACTACATGCATGAAATGGCTTTCCTGTGGTTCCAGGAAAATAATGTTATACCAAGAGTACTTAGCCTTGACTTTTGAATATAATAGAATGAGGCCCTGGGACAATTCATTTATTAAAACAAACTACCATTTCTTTCACTGCTGATGAGCACTGATTCTAAATGACTATTGTTCCATTTTTACTGTTAAGATTCAGTAAGTCAGTGCAATAACGAACATCTAACAGAAGCACCTGCTATTTTCTTGACCCTACTGAAGGCTATTCCTAGATATAATCACCTCTTAGTGAAATCACTCCATCTCTGACTTCAGGAATCAGAGACACAAAACTTTCCAGGAAAAACGCATTTTATTTCCTTAAGCGAGGAGCACAACCTCCCTTCTTTCCATTCCTTGAAATTTTCACAAGGAATCAGTGATCCCAATAAATACATTTAAATCATTGAAAAGGAGTAAGAAATTGCCAAAGCTAGATTCCTGGGTGGCGGTCAGAGGCCTTACCTATCAGCGTGTGAAAGACGGCAGCGATGGCCCCCGCCACCACCATGCACAGGACGGCTTTGGTCCGGTCTCTCTTGCTGTTCACAAACACCAGGCCCACGTTTTTGAAGTCACTCATGGGACCCGTGAAGAACTTCATTAGGGAGTATGCCAGCCCGTAGCTGGCCAGCATTTCCACCGCATCCTCTTTGACCGCAGCGATGCCCCGGTTCAAGGCCTGGAAGGGGGAAGAGACAACCCACAAACAGCATTAGAAATGGCATCTCATCTCTGGGGAGTCACGTTTCTAAAATGAAACTCAGCAAATTGTGTTTCCATAGAAACACTAAGCCGCTTATTGGGCAAATTTCACTGTAATTTGATAAAGGTGATTGGTTTTCATTCCCATCCCTGTAAGCTTTAGTTCAAGTGTCTTTTTGTGAAGGAGATACCTGTCTGTTGGGGTTAAAGTAATAGGAAAAACTCAACAAGTATTTTAGATTAACATCAGAAATAATTCTAAGAAGTTTTGGTTAAAAGTTGATTGAATGTATAGGCTGAATCTACATCCCAGCAACACACATTCAAAGAAAGCAGCCAGTTTAGACCGGAGAGGGGGGTGCACCTTCCTCTCCACAGCCATGGGCCGAGCGCTACCTTGCTCTGCTCCTTAAAGCTAATTTGAACTACACAAAAGGAGGATGAGCGCTCGAAAGAGGAAAGGCTGGATACAACAAGAGAATTCAAACCAATCTTTGAATATACTTAGTAGGGAAGAAGCATGCTCTGTTATAACAAAGTGGACACAATCTATTGTGTTTCACTGAATCTGACACTATCGATGGTAAGACAACATTATTAATTAAATGCCACCAGGAAAGAAAAATTCTCACTGGTTATAAGATATATTCCGATTTCAGAGATGCTAAAATGTGGGGGTAGAGGTGAAGGGTGCCTCGGAATCTCTGAAGCAAGGCATTTCACAAGACATGTCAAGTTATTCCTCAGTTTCAAGGAATAACTTTCCAGGTCTGGTCCCTGAATGTAACCCGGGGTCAGAGTGGTCTCAGCACAAGCTCAGGCAGGGCTCATCAGCAGACCCCTGGGGCTTCTGACTCTTTGCCTTTCTTTCATTCAGTCCTTTATGGGACACAGCCGACTGACATAATGAAAACTTACAGAGCTGAACAGCCTTTGCAAAGCACCGTTAGGAACAGAATGTATTCACAGGAAAATACTAAAGTGTAAGAATGATTTTAGAAAACCTTAGAATAACAATGTATGATAGCTGTGGGAATTCATTTTCCTGACTATGTTGGTATTATATAAGCTAGTTTCTGTTAATTGTTTCCAATTGTGTCTCTTTTTTCCAGTAATAAATAGAAAACTTCCAGGAGAACCTCCTTAGCCTATGCAGTGCACACCTGCCTTTCTTAGAAACCAATTTTCCCCTAAGCTGAAGCTGAGGGAATACGTTAATACCCTAAAGCAAAATAAAAACCCAGAAGCTCCTTTCTAATAAATCATCCTGTTTGACAGGCACACCTCGGCAGAGGGTTCATGCTGTGTGCCCAAACTTATCACTTGCTAATTTACCAGGTTAATTCCCTCTGGACTTCTGTAGTAGACGGTGTTGGTTCCCCACTTGGCCATCCCCAGTCGCTGCACTGGGGAACG